ATATATATATATATATATATATATTTTTTTTTTTTTTTTTTTTTTCTTTTTTTTTTGAGACAGAGTCTCACTGTCACACAAGCTGGAGAGCAGTGGCGCAATCTTGGCTCGCCCTAACCTCCGCCTCCCAGGCTCAAGCTATTTTCCCACCTCAGCCTCCTGAGTAGCTGAGACTACAGGTGCATGCCACCATACCTGGCTACATTTTTTTTTTTTTTTTTGGTAGAAATGGGGTCTCACTAATAACCTACTTTTAATGGGTTAGATTGTCAGGTATGAAAGTACTAGATTTAAGAAAATGTACTTTTTAAATCTTTATAGATATTGCTAGATTACATTTCATAAAGCCTTAAAAGTAATATTTTAATCTGCCATGTATCAGAATATCCATTTATCTAAATACAGACTAAGTGTTTCCCCTTATTTTCATTTGTATTAGTGCATTAGGTCTAAATGACATCTCATTGTTTTCTCTATTTAACATTTTCTGTCTTCTATTAAATTTGAGCATCTTTTCATTTTTATTGACTCTTTATATTGTTCCACCTTAAAAATACCTTTTCAGGCCGGGCAGGGTGGCTCACCCCTGTAATCCCAGCACTTTGGGAGGCCGAGTCATGCAGATTGCTTGAGCCCAGGAGTTTGAGATCAGTCTGGGCAACATGGTGAAACCCCATCCCTACTAAAAAAAAAATGTGTGTATATATATATATATATATATGCCGGGCATGGTGATATGTGCTTGTAATCCCAGCTACTCGGAAGGCTAAAGTGGGAGGATAGCTTGAGTCTAGGAGGTGGAGGCTGTGGTGAGCTGAGATCATGCTACAGAACTCCAGCCTGGGTGACAAACTGAGACCTTGTCTCTAATAAAATAAATAAAATACCTCTTCATATGTTTGCCCATTTTTTAATTTCTAATTTTTAAGGATACATAGTAGGTGTACATATTAATGGAGTACATGAGCTATTTTGATACAGGCATGCAATGAGTAATAAGCTCACCAAGGTAAATGGAGTATCCATCCCCCTAAGCAATTTTCCTTTGTGTTAGAAACAATCCAATTATACTCTTTTATTTTAAAATGTACAATTAAATTATTTACTACAATCACCTTGTGCTATCAAACACTAGCTGTTATTCTTCATTCTTTCTATTTTTTGTACTCACTAACTATTCACCCACCTCCCCACGATGCTTCCCAGCCTCTGTTAACCATCCTTCTACTCTCTGTCTTCACGAGTTCAATTGTTCTGATTTTTAGCTCCCACTAATGAGTGAGAACATGCGAAGTTTGTCTTCCTGTGCCTGTCTTTGCCCCCATTTTTTTCTTTTAGTTTTTCTTTGTCCCCTTCTTGTCTATTTGTGAGATTGTGTTACCTTTTGTGGATATTAACTATCATCTCTCTTGTATTTTTTTCTAAATCAAATATTTTAAGAATGATTTGATGTTCATACCAGTGTGTACACATATGTTTTTGTGTTCCTTAAAGATCAGTTCAAATGGGCTGACATAGGTTGACCAGGTAATAGTTATTATATAGCTGCACAGAGCGGTGCATCTGCAGACACAGACACATCACTAAAATCTTATTTGTCAAAACTATGAATTGCAAAAAGGAGTTTTCAGTGATGAAAACTCTTGGTGTAACCTGGGGGAAAAGGGTCATCTCAGGTCCTCTAAATATTTTTTGAAAGAGACAGTCCTTATTTCCTGGGAGTGAATATTGGTGACTTATATGCCTTTGTTGAGGGATATTTATTATCACACAAATATTTTTTGAAGGAGAGGTATTCACTGATGATGAACCATGTCATCACACAATTTCCTGAACTTTTCCATTTACTTTTTAAACCTTGCCTTTAAAGGTGTAGGTTTCTTAATTATTTGGTGGTTGTCATTTTTTTTACTTTGTGTTTTGAAATAATTCAGCATTCACAGGAGTTGCACAAATGCAAAGAAAAGACCCACGCACACTTCATGAAAACTCTCTATAGTTAGCATCTTGCTTAACTATAGTAACTATAGCCTCATGTAAGAATTGGAAAATTAACATTGGTACAATCCACAGAGTTTATTCATATTTTACCAGTTTTACAGCTCTGTGTGTGTGTGTGTCTGTATACTTCTATTGGAGTTATTTTTTTAACTGTAGTGTGTCAAACAAATTATTCTATCACTGAAATCCTAAGCTCTACAATCATAAATATAAGTAGATAAAACTGAGGTCATAGACAAAGTGGGGCATGGGAGTAGCTTTCTGACTGATGCTACGGAGTGCCATTCTGCATATAACCTTGAAAAAAATCTACAAAGGTGCCTCAAGTTGTCATGGCTCCACTTAGACCTGCATGAAGACAGAGCATACATAAAACCCCCTTTTGATCTTACAAAGTTGCTAATTCTTGGCCTTATGATGGGAAACAGAGCTCAGCACTTTTAGGCTGGCTGGTAGGGACCTTCTCTTACTTAAGGATAAATAAATAATGAGTGTTTGTGAAGATATGTTCTCCTGACTACAGTGACACCTGCCGAGATTGTTTGGGTTGTAATTTTATAGCATCCTTTTCCAGAATTAATTACACATCCACAGTCAGGCAACCATAACTTCTCTACCAGTAATGTCTCATGTACAACTGTGAACAAGTAAATTAATGCCAACTAGTGGCTGACCACACACCGTGACAAAGTATGTGTGCTTGGGCAGCAGCACCTCCTTTCTCTTTATGAATCATCTTAGGGGTTCTCTGGGAGAACTTGAAAGGTGTCAGAAAAAGCGGAGGAAGCATTGCTTTGCCCTTGCAGGAAACATCCATTGACTTCAGACTGTGAGAATCAGAAACAAGCGCTACTCGGTCATTGGTCCAACCTCCTCATGTTTGTTGTAAGTAAATGTGGTCCAGAAAAGTGAAGTGATAAGCTTTAAAGGCACAATGATAATTAGTGACAAAGTCTTGACTAAAACTCCAGCTATTTTCCTCTGAAAAGATGCTCTTTCCACTGTAACATTATAGCACTTTGTTCATTTTTATGGATTGAATGAATGGGTTAAAAAGTCATAACAGTCTACAGAATTTCCAAGATTATTTTTCTCCTCTTTGTTCCTGAAGTATCCTAAGAAGACATGAGTGGCCATTCCTGGGACAGGCAGCCATCTCTTGCTATGGAGAACTGACTGGTAAGAGTGGTTTTGGTGGCTGTAATGCTTCTACCGAGCTAATGTCACAAAATTCAGTCAAGGATTTCTAAAGCATTCTATTTTTTGTTTTTCTCCCTGAATCTCCAAAAGAAGTTTAACTGGGGTCTAGTTAGGGTGTTTGAGGAAAACTTGGGTAGTCTTAGATTCAATATATTTTAGATTAACTTAGCTATTTATCAGTATCGACTGTTTAAAAAAAGTTATGAGATAGGTTAAATATACACAGAAGTGGACTAATCAGTATAATAAATCCCATGTAGGCCATGAACTTCAGTACTGCAATAGGTGGCCAATTATTGGGTTTAAAATAAATATGTATGAATGATTCTGTTTCTTTCTAGATGGCTCTTCCATTTTGCAGAGAGAAAGGGTTTTTTGTGGGGTGGGGTGGTTGTTAAATGATTTTTTTCTTCTGGTTATCTACCCAGTGTAGCATCTTTCTTCCTCTGTGTGGCCCTGGACTTTAAGATATTCTACTTGGGAGGCTGAAGTGGGAGGATCACTTGAGCCCAGGAGTTCAAGGCCAGCCTGGGCAATATAGTGAGAGCCCATCTCTTAAAAAATAGATATTATTGTGGTTTGTATTGGCACTGAGAAATACAAACCCACAATATAGAATTTAGAATGATGATTGAAATCTAGCATAGATGATCATGTTGGTTTATAAGGTACCATTGGGAGCCATGTTTCCTACCGTGAGACTGGCCTCTGTTGGAACATGCATGCTGTTAGACATAATGGTGGTTAAATGGCTAAACCAAACGTAAAGCCCAGGCTAGAGGGAAGAGTAATGACCAAAACTTAGGTATTATGGTCTCTTTAAACTGGACTGAGTATTGTCCACCCACATTGTTCTATTTTAAGTTGGGTAAGTGGTTGTCTTCTCAGTCGAACTTTAATAAGTTCTGTTGGAGGCAGGGAGCATTTTATTCTTGCCGCTTGTCTGTCCTTAAGGCCTGGCAATAAATGTTGGTGTTTGTTGAATGAATGAATGGATAGAAGAATGGGTGGTTGGACAAAGGAGTAAAGAAAGGCATCTTGGGAAATGAAACTGAATCAGTAGCCTCAACATTGTAGATGCCAGTGTGTGGTGTCAGGGTGTTTCAAAGGCTGGCCCATTTTTAAGCAAATGCCATTAAGAGCAGTGTAACATTAAAATAAGTCATTCTATTATTGCCTTTGGTCACATTTTTGAAACCTAATTATAAGTTCAATGACAGCCTTTCCCACCCACCCCCCAAAAAAGGCAACAAAAGAATTCTGATTCCAGAAGAAAGACACTGGTGCTTCAGTTTAATGCTGTTCCTAAAGTTCAAAGCATGGATGCCCTGTGGAGGACAGATCTCGTTAGAAGAGGATCCTTTTCATATTTTAATGACATAATTTATTTTTCCCATTTTATACAAAATTACATTTTCTAAAAGTGATTTTGTTCCTGTGTAGGAAAATGCCAGGGACATGTCCTAGAGAAGAGGGAGATCAAAAGTAGATTTTTGACATGCTAGAAATTGTAGTGGTCTGCTGAGTATTATCCACAAGAGCAAACCCAACATGGTAGAGCAGAATTTGTAGAATTCATTTAGCTCATTAGGTGACTGTCAAACATCAGGCCCTAAAATAGTGGAAAGGGGATGCAGAGAAGGGGAATTGATTATCCCAGTCCTGTTGGTAACAGAACTCTCATTAGCACCTCAGGGAACACCACAATCCAATGTGTCTACTTGATAGCCTGGACCCAGTAGTGTCCTCTGGATGGAGACACTGTGTTCCTAATCCCATCCCTAGTGCCCAAGTCTTACCTTGTCTATGTTTATTGGTTATCCCGTGATGTGTTCTCTAGGTCACTCACTTTCTTGATCACCCTCTTCTGAATATCACACAGTGGGTTAGTAAAGGCCTTAAAAATGTTTAGATAAGGTACAGCAAAAGAATATTAGTATCCGCCATCTCAATTAAAGCAATGGAGTTATATTGTACATTGGTATATTGCACATTTTTAGTCGCCTATGTTTGACACCCCCAGTTAGAAACACAAGAGTAATTTTCTCTACTCGCTTCTTAATACGGAAGAATTGTAGGTTACCTACTCAGAGTTCTCGTAGATTTCTTCTTTATCCTTGAATGATTTTGAGTTTATGTTTAAATAAAAATCTTTCTAATAGTCTTATAATTGACCCTGAATGTTCTGGAAATTTACATATCTCAGGATAAAAATGTAACAGAAATATTAAACTCAAAGGAATCCTGAAGCCAGTCTTAGAAGAAACTACAGAATTGTCGGCCCTTTCTGTCTTATTCTCCTGACATTAATTCTCTCCCTATTACCCCTCTTCATTTTCCCACCCCCCCCCCCACAAAGCTGGGAAGAGATGACATTTGGAACATTGCCGTTTGAGGGCCCACAATTAGATGACAATGAAGTAAGCTGGCAGGCTCTCAACTCCTGTGATTCCAAAGGTTCCTGGTCCGGAATGTTTCTAACTGATGGTCATGAGTCATTGATGGATTTTGAATTCAATTTGGTATGTCTCACCAAACTTAAGAAAGAAAAACAAAAGAAATTTTATAGAATAGGTGATGTCAGAGAGCATCACATATAGTATGGCAGTTTCATGACATCAGCTGTCTATATGTTCTAGATTATGATGTAACATGTTCTCAGGCTCCTCTACTGGTTCATTGTTCCACCCAGTGGAATGGGGAATCACAGGAATAAAGACCAACTCTTGACCCAAGGTAATTTTTAGTACCTGACTTTACTTGGCTTGCTACTAACTCCACTGTATTTGCTCTTCTTTTGCACAGAAATAATGAAGCAGCAGGCCTTTTCCACTTCTAACAATAGCATGATTCCTCTGACAACTCCTTTAGAAAGCAATACCTTCACCTGACTATATAGAAAGGAGTAAATATTTTAGACTACTACATTCCCCATTACCTGAGAGGAAATATGTTAATGATCCTGTGCTCCACATAGTTTAAATTTATAGTTTAAATTTTGTTCTCTGCAGTAGTACTGTTGTAGATTATTAATAAGCCTTCATTCCTTGTGAGACAATTCGTTACCTTTACACTGGTGCAAATGCATTTTTCAATGATTCTCTGGAATTATTCCATTCAAATATGAAGAATTTGCCAAAAAAGATATAAAGAGAGATTTAGAAATTGAAACTTGGCTAGGTAGAAAATGGTACCAGAGCTGCACCGCCTCCCTTGGGCTTTTCTCATAACCGTAAGTTGACAGTGATGGTATTTTGCAGGTGGGACTTGAACAGTCCAAAGGGAAGAACATCCTCAGTCCTAATGAACGTGCTGAGCCTATTATGTGTTCAGGCAGTCTCCCTGGAATACCAGTAAAAGAAAATTAAATCAACTCACGACAGCTATCTTGCATATCTCACCTGGGAAGGTATGCATGCAGTAGGACAGGCACTGCTTAACATTAATCAGCCTCCTGAAGTCATTACATTCATGAGGAAATGTAATTCACATGTGATTACTTTTTAATTTACTCTGTAATCACATTCCAAGTGAACGGGCCAAGCTTAAAATGAAATTTAAAAGTCAAATACTGCTTTGTATTAGGAATTCACAATTTTTATATGCACTTAGGTTAATAAAGATTTTACAATAACCATTTGTGACTGAGCATATGATAATTTTTTGATGAAAGTTAGTGCCATACCTAAGATAAGATGTATTTGATTTCTCTCCAAGTACTGAACTGGACCTGGAGAGTCTCAGAACTCTACTCTATAGTGAATTCCTGCCTCATCTAAACTTTATTTGAAAAGGAAAAAAAGTCATCCAAACGTTCCTCAATCCCAGATCTGAAGTTGCGTTGAACTAATGTATTTTTAATTCCTGCTGTGCCTGTGAGGCATATCCATTTGTTTTATCCATCATCAGAAGGTGTATACAGAACCTCATAATAACTGATTTCAGCTCATCAATGGGGAATGCCAGGGCCTGCAGTAAGAATCTTCCTCCAACAATGTGGTCTTTCAAGTTTGTGAAGTTACAAAGCTGCTGTGTTAGTTTCATGGGAGCCTTGAAACTAAAGGTTCAAAAGGCCAGAATCAGCTAGTTATGGATAGTAGTGGGTAGGTTTGTGCTGTGCTTTATGAACTAAGGCCAATGGAGAGAAATGTACAAAGGTTTTTCAGATATCCAGTCAATACAAAGAAGAAATGTTTTTCATTTGGCCCCCACTACCACTACATTGAACAACCTCAGAAGTAGTAAGATACCCTTTCCAGAAAATATTCAAAAGCTGGATTCCATTTTCCAGGGATGTTGTATAGTGTTACCAACATCAGTTATTAGCTTTCAGATTTCAAGATATTTATAATATCTTTATGCTAACTTTGCTAATATTTACTTTAGCTCAACTCATTTTGTTTTCACTTCACAACTACTTTGGCATTGTTTTAATCCAGTACTGTTAAAAGAAATATAATGCAAGGCATATGTGAGATTTTCTAGTTGTCATATTAAAGAAGCAGGTGAAATTAATTATATATTTTATTTAACCCACTATATCCTATTATTTCGACATGCAATCAATAAGAAATTTTAAATGAGATTTTTTTTTTATACTATGAAATCTTGTGTGTATTTTACACTTATAGCACATCTCAGTTTGGACTAGTCACATTTTACATGGACAAAGCCACATGTGGCTAGGGACTACTATGGGCAGAATAGTTCCAAGCTGTGGCATTTATGAAATCATGACTGACATGATGGTTATATATTTTTAAATGCATGTTAAACAAATATGCTGCTTTTCGAATTTTCAAGTTTGAATTAGTAAACGGAATATGTACCACACTGTGGGGAACACTGACTTGAAAAGCAGTTCTTGTATCTCTCTATGTATATATGGATCTATCTATTTGGGGTGCAGTAATATGCATGATGGATGGAGTTTATATGCATGGGTCTCTGCATGGCTGTATGTACTTACCTGTGGTCCCCAGCACATGATCCATACAGCTTTTTGCCCACACAAAAGCACAGCAAAGTATAAGAAATGAGACTAATATAACCCTACTTGATTTATTTTTTTACAAATGAAACATTTACTATCATAGTATGTATATATTGTACATATGTGTGATACCATCTATGTAATGAATATGTGTGTGCATGTATATATGTGTAATATATGTAACATATATGTATGTCTGTATATATGTTTATATGTATGTATGTCACACATCCTAGGCCATTGCTGCTTCCATCTGCACTTAGGGCTGGTGTGTGGTCCCTAACCCACTTTGGTAGGTGGAATAATGGTCCCCCGAAGGAGTATTAATTCTAATCCCCAACACCTGTGAATGTTACCTTACATGACCAAAGGGACTTGGCAGATGTGATTAAGTTAAGGATCTTGAGATAGGGGGATTATCTGGTATTATTCAGGTAGGTCCAATGTATTCACAATGGTCCTTATAAATGAAAGAGGGAGGCAAGCGAGTCAGAGTGAGAGAAGGTGTGATGAGGGATGCAGAGGTCTGAGTGATGTGGTGTGAGCAAGACTTGACCTGATGTTGCTGGCTTTGAAGATGTGGGAAGGCACCATAAGGCAAGGAATGTGGGCTTCCCCTAGAAGCTGGACAAGGTGAGAAAATGGATTCTGATCTAGAACCCCAGCAGGAACATAGCCCTGCTGACTTTTTGGTTTTATTCCAGTGAGAGCCATTTCAGACTTCTGACTTGCAAAACTGGGATAAATATGTGTTGTTTCAAGCCCTAAGTATGTAATAATTTGTGACAGAGGCAATAATAAACTAATATGTCCATCCTCAGTAATTGGTTGATTAAAACTGTATCACTGTCAAGTTTTTTTTCATTTAAACAAATTTCAGTAGCTTTAGGGGTACAAGTAGTTTTTGGTTATGTGAACGAATTGTATAGTAGTCAAGTCTGAAATTTTAGTGCATGCATCACCTGAGTTGTGCACATGGTACCCAATATGTGTTTTTTAAAATCTCCCACGCCCCTTACATCCTCCCTTCTGAGTCTCCAGTGTCCATTAAAACACTCTGTATGCCTTTGCATACCCATAGCTTAGCTCCTCTGTATGTGTGAGAACACTTGGTATTTGGTTTTCCTTTTCTGAGTTACTTCACTTAGAATAATGGCCTCCAGTTCTGTGAAAGTTGCTGCAAAAGACATTATTTTATTCTTGTTTATGATTGAGTAGTATTCCATGGTGTGCACACACGCGCACACACACACACACACACACACACACACACATACACATATAGACATATATATCTCTCTCTCACATTTTCCTTATCCACTTATTGGTTTATGGTCACTTAGGTTGGTTCCATGTCTTTTCAATTGTGAATTGTGTTGCAATAAACATATGTGTGCAGGTGTTTTTTTTTCATCTCATGACTTACTTTCCTTTGGGTAGAAACCCAGTATTGGGATTGCTGGATAGAATGCGAGGTCAACTTTTAGTTCTTTGAGAAATCACTGTATTGTTTTCCATAAAGGTTGTGCTAATTTACATTCCCACCAGAAGTGTATAAATGTTTCCTTTTCACCACATCCCTGTCAACATCTATCGTTTTTGGACTTTTTAAGAATGACCATTCTAGTGGGGTAAAGTGATGTCTTACTGTGGTTTTTTGTTTGTTTGTTTGTTTTCGTTTTTCTTTTTTTTTTTTAATTTATTTATTATTATTATACTTTAAGTTGTAGGGTACATGTGCATAACGTGCAGGTTTGTTACATATGTATACTTCTGCCATGTTGGTGTGCTGCACCCATCAACTCATCATTTACATCAGGTATATCTCCCAATGCAATCCCTCCCCCCTCCCCCCTCCCCATGATAGGCCCCTGTGTGTGATGTTCCCCTTCCTGAGTCCAAGTGATCTCATTGTTCAGTTCCCACCTATGAGTGAGAACATGCGGTGTTTCGTTTTCTGTTCTTGTGATAGTTTGCTAAGAATGATGGTTTCCAGCTGCATCCATGTCCCTACAAAGGACACAAACTCATCCTTTTTGATGGCTGCATAGTATTCCATGGTGTATATGTGCCACATTTTCTTAATCCAGTCTGTCACTGATGGACATTTGGGTTGATTCCAAGTCTTTGCTATTGTGAATAGTGCTGCAATAAACATACGTGTGCATGTGTCTTTATAGCAGCATAATTTATAATCCTTTGGGTATATACCCAGTAATGGGATGGCTGGGTCATATGGTACATCAAGTTCTAGATCCTTGAATATCGCCATACTGTTTTCCATAATGGTTGAACTAGTTTACAATCCCACCAACAGTGTAAAAGCGTTCCTATTTCTCCACATCCTCTCCAGCACCTGTTGTTTCCTGACTTTTTAATGATCGCCATTCTAACTGGTGTGAGATGGTATCTCATTGTGGTTTTGATTTGCATTTCTCTGATGGCCAGTGATGATGAGCATTTTTTCATGTGTCTGTTGGCTGTATGAATGTCTTCTTTTGAGAAATGTCTGTTCATATCCTTTGCCCACTTTTTGATGGGGTTGCTTGTTTTTTTCTTGTAAATTTGTTTGAGTTCTTTGTTGGTTCTGGATATTAGC